GCCGTATTATCGTACATGTCGATACATGACGGGAACCCTACGTCCGACGCCGACGGGGTGGTAACGACGCGACAACAATAGCCTCGAATCGTGTATTATTCGGTGGGGTGATGAGATGGCTACGGCGCGTTAAGGCTTTTCCCTGACCAAATAACCTTGAGCATTCACGTTCCCGCTTTGCCGCACCCCGTCTCTGCAATACTTCGTAAAATAATACTAACGCCATATGGCGAACAACTTCGAATATAAGTAAAAATCACAGATCTTAGAATGCACAGACACGGCATTCAATAAAATAAAATATTGTAAATCAAGGAACGAGTATAAGTAAAGATCAAAGATCTTGGAATGCACAGACACGGAATTCAATAAAATAAAATATTTTAAAGAAAGGAACGTTTATTGGTGCACGTAAATAATTTTGTCTATGAATTCATTGACTTACTAATAACGTCCATGAATACTTCCATCTTTTATTCTAATACAAGTATTCATGGTTCTCTATAATAAACATTGTGCGGCGTTTACTTTTTAGATTGATCGTAAGTTACTTGTTATTCAGACAGTGATAAAGTAGGAAAGTAAAATAAAAACAACAAAGTAAATTTTCTTATATACAGATGGACCAAAAGTCCGGTAACATTTGGATCGGTCGCGGCTTTGAATTGCGGTGAGTGGGGTAGAGGGGGGCGTTACCAAACACGAGAGCGGCTAATAGGAATTTAGTAGCATGGCGTAATTCACCGGAGCATAACGCGCTTGCGTCAGTCGGCCTAGGACGTCGCGAGAACCTGGCCTCTACTCGAAAGCGGTCTACTGTTTTAAATTTGCTCAGAACCTCTCTAAATCGTATTCTACACAAGGATTTACATTTACATCCATACAACAATCAAATTGTACAGGAATTAAGGCCTAATAATCCGCAATTGAAGCACCAAAAGCCCTTACACTCGCCCAAAGTTACTGTATGGGCGCTGCTTATCAGCCAGCGGCATAATTGTTCCATATTTTTATGAAGACCAGAGAGGCCGCCCTGTTACCGTCAACACAGAGCGATACATTGCCATGTTACAGAACTTTTTTGCTCCAGCTTTGCAGGACTACTCAGGTTTTAATCAAAGATCATGGTTTCAACAAGATGGAGCGACATGCCACACCTCCAATGACTCCATAGCAGCGGTTCACGAAATTTTTGGCCAAAAAGCCAAATCCAAAATAGGTGACATTAACTGGCCATCACGCAGCCCGGATTTGTCACCAATGGACTTTTTCCTTTGGGCCTATCTTACAAGTACGATTTTTAATAACAACCCATCGTCTATTGAAGAATTAAAAGAAAATATACGCGAGGAAATTCATAACATTTCTTCAAACACTTGTCGGGCGGTGATGGAAAACTTCCGCTCTAGGTTACAATAATCAACGATCAAATTTGGATGACGTTATTTTCAATAAATAAAACCCTGATATCTGTGCTTTTATAATAAATAAACAATTTTTCTCTCATGTCTACTTTTATATTTTTCATGAACATTTGAAATGTTACCGGACTTTTGGTCCAACCTTTATTTTAAATTACGTACCTATATAGTACGTACCAAATTGAATTAGCTAGTGAAACTTCGCGGACGTGATAGGTATCGATATCTAAATACTATAATTGAAAATTTTGGGTTTGAATGGGTCCCTAGACGGTTTAGATTCACATTTGGACCCGGTAGATGGCATTGTTACCGAGCTCCAGAAATCACCCGTGCGTTAAATAATGTAATCATATATTATATTATTAGGTAAATTTATCATATGTTTTATTTTTTTTAAGAAAACGTAACCTCCACCCTAGGATTTCCTACTGTATCGTGGGGGTTACAAACATAAATTGCAAAAGGACAAACATCCAGACCAGGAACAATTATTATTTGTAGGTTATACAAATACTAATTATTCAGTGCGGAATTCGAACCCGCGGCCTTTAGCGCTGCAACTCAATTGCTAAGTCACTGCGCGACGGAGCCGTCTATTATTTGGTAAGTTATCTATTAAATAAAATATAAAAATATAATTAAAATCTCTCCTATAAAAAAATAGTTTAATATAATTTATTAAACTATTTTATTATAGAAGAGGGGGCAAACGAGCATGCGGCTCACCTGATGGTAAGTAATTACCGCCGCCCATGAACAACTGCAACACCTTGGGAATTGTAGATGCGTTGCCGGCCTTTTAAAAAAGAGTAGGCCCTTTCTTGAAGGTCCCTAAGTCGTATCGGTCCGGAAAAATCGCTGGTGGTAATCGATTCCACAAGGAAGTTGTGCGAGGGAGAAAACTTCTTCTAAATCACACAGTGGTGGACCGCCAGTCATCCAGATGTTATGGATGGTATCGCGAGTTTTGTCGCGATGTGCGATGGTGAAATTGAGCGGCTGGAATAAGTCCGAACAATTCCTCAGAGCACTCCCCGTGATAGATACGATAAAATATGCAAAGAGATGCAACATCTCTACGCAGTGCAAGTGAGTCAAGCCGATCGGAAAGAACTCTGTCGTCGATGATTCGAACCGCTCTTCGCTGGATGCGGTGAAGTGGAAGGAGCTGGCACTGGGGGCCCCTACCTAGAGATGGGAACAGTATTCCATGTGAGGCCGAACCTGCGCCTTGTAAAGTCGCAGGCGGTGTGCCGGCATGAAATACTGTCCCGCTCTGCTGAGCACGCCAAGCTTTTTAGAGGCCTATTTGGCCTTCTCTTCCAAGTGACCACGAAACTGCACATCACTCGATATGTCGACACCGAGGATTCCGATACTGGCTGAGGCAACAAGGGTAGTGTCTTGAAACTGAGGAGATACGACAAAGGGGTTCCTTTTAGCGGTAAACGCGCAAACTTGTGTCTTCTGGGGATTCAACTGGACTAGATTTAGTGGCCCCCAGTCTGAGACTTTGTTCAGCAAAGACTCGACTTCAGACACAAGTTTGTTCCGGTACTCGACGATGTTTTCCCGAGAAATAATGGCACGGCCTGTGTATAAAGCATCACCAGTGCTGTCGTCCGCATAGCAATGAATGTTACTGGTTTGCAACATATCATTGATATGCAGAAGAAACAGCGTTGGTGATAGCACGCAGTCTTCTGGAACACCAGCGTTAATGGGCTTGTAATCGGAGCATGCAACGTCTATTACGATTATTATTATTAAATAAATTAATTATGTGAAAATTTTCATACAAATAGTACAAATATTTAAAATTATTATGCAGTTGTGAAATATATTCTTATAAGTCATTCCGCCAGTCTCAGTTTCTTGTACTCGGCTGACATTATCAACGCCGTAAGTAAAGTAAGTAGGTAAGTAATATCGTTACTTGAAGACATATTGTTGCCAATAAAATTTTGGTGGAGACAACAAGTTGTCTACTAAAATGTTTCTCAAATTGTTGGCGACATGTTTCAATTCGGTGCAGAAACATCGGAAACAAAAGTTGGTAACTTTTGTTGAGTTGCAAACAGTTGGAAACATTAATGTTGTCAACATGTTTGTGGCGAAACACGGAGGGACGACGATGAGAGCGATACAATTTCCTCGTACGAATTCCGGATTGCCGGCCGCTGCCGCCGTACCATGCGCACGCTCCTTTTTTTATAGAATTCACACAATTTTTGGAATCATTTTATTAAAAAAGAAAAGCGATATTTTTAAATTAAATAAAAGTGAATAATATAGATTTTTAAATTATCTATCCCGTTAGTATAATCCTCAAATAATTAGATCGTTGCTTTTAGCAACAGATGTATGCAATCAATAATTTTAGTCATTTTTTAAAAGTAGATTTTTGATGTATATATAACACAAAAACAAATTAGAACGTGATATCGATATCGAACATTAATAATGTGCTTTTAAATGTAGTTTACTTCTCATAACTAATGAGTCTCTGAATAACAAAGAAAAACGCACTATCGCAAGGTTTTGGTCGGGGTATCGCCTTAACGATAACGTCGCACTCAACGTCTGAGGTTATTCGAACCCAATAAAGCTCATTTGATGGAATATCGATGTTGAAATGTAATTGACCCACCCGCAACCAAACGAACCCGCCAAATGGCAAATTTCTTTTTGTCTTCATAAAATAAATACGTCTAGATCGAAATTATTGTTAATGTTTATATCTTATAACATTGTATAACATTCTATTTGATATTTGTCAGGTAATACAATGATACTTTACGTTTTGGATGAAAAATGATAACGTAATTTGAATTACCATTTGTTTTTACTTGTACTTATGTTCAATACAATTATTAAAAAAATAGATATAAAACACGGTGCGCTTTGACGTTCCGAGTTCAGGTCATTTTTATTGCATGTTCCAAAAACTAAAAATGTCAAGAAACGCAAATAGTAGTTTACATCCGTCCCAGAACTACGATTAAATGATATGAAAATTGTGTTTATAAAATGTAATTAAAAAGTTTAAAGAATTATTGTCTTTACTTTTTCGTTGTATCTATAATGTTCTTAAAAATCTAAAAGTAATTTGGAAGGCAAAAAAAAAAACATTTTTTTAATAAAATTTGGCTGACAATTAAAAAATAATATACATAAAATACGCTAGATTTTGAAATAATTGCTTAATCATCGGCAAATCTTTTTAAACTCTTAAATATATTATATTCTATGTTCTCTAGATTCTTACAATACAAACTCAACGTGAACAATACGATAGACTGCAATTGTTCGCAAAGCAAATTTCGCGGCGGCGACATTCTCAGGAACCTGACAATTAAAAATAACGTCGACACGAACAATTTTCATTTTATGAAAGAATATCCTAATAATATATAGTAATATTCAAAATATCAAAACAAATGCCTTGAGTTAGCACAGCATTACGTTAAATACACAAACAAAAACAAGTTGTAAGTTATATACATATTTAAAAAAAGAAAGATCAGCACGCAAGCAGCTAAAATGAAAAATATTTTTCTACGTCCATAAACTTACCTGGTACTTGATGCCAGCCAATCGAAGCCATGTTTCAACTTTCAAGCAATACGGTGAAGTTGACGGTATTAACGGGGTTCGCGAGAATTGGTACAAATACACGACGTCCTTCTCGTAGTTAGTTTTGTGTACGGACGGCTTCGGAGGAGCTGGTTCAGGCTTTTTCTCTTCAGCCTTTTCTGTTTTCTCCTCGGTTGCCGGCGGCTCTTCTTTGGTCTGACCATTGTCTGCAGTTGTATCATCTTTTACCTCCTTTGCCTTTTCAGTATTTTCAGGAGTATTATTTATAGCTTCTGTAGCCATTTTGTAGTAATATATCACTCAAGTCTTTCAAATATTATAATGTGCACGCACAAACAGCCGCGTTGCAATGTTTTACTCACTACCGCTCTCACTGAGCGCGCTCGGAAATTGACTGACTAGCGACCACAGAACACTAATACCCTTAGGCTAGCGACTACCGCAACCGCTTCACAGATAGTCAACTGACTATAATGGTTGCTTGGCAACGCTATACAATGATCACATCCATACAACTACAAAATGGCGGCTTTATCTCGTTTACGGATATCAAGAAATCAACATATTTATTAAAATTACAATAATAACTGTATACCACTGTTCCACATGATTATTTAAATAAATTTATTTTTATCGTGTAATGTAAAACTAAAGCTCATTACAAAGAGAAATTTCTTTGGAAGAATATAAATATAAATCTCGAGATGCTGTAGAAAATGGCGCGTAAATTGGAAGATTGAAAGAAAAAGATTTTTTTTTAATTATAATTTTCAAACGAGTTCAACAAACAGTTCAGTTATTTAAACATAATATGACCAACTATAGTAATATTTTTGTAAATTGTCCTATGGGCCAGGCACGTTCTATATCCCCAATAGTATAATAACCTACCCCCTCATTTAATCAACATCGTACTTCAACTTCAATCCATTGCAGTACCTACTACCTAGTATATAATATTTTACCAATGTGCGAACTAGACTGTGTGCTACACCTTTAACGATTTTCACTAGAATAATTACTTGTCATTTCATTTTCTGTGGGTGTAAATATTTTAATAAGGTATGTTAACACCTATACAAATAAATAAAATTGAAGTGTCTATTTGTAATGTCAAAATAACAGGTTTTTACTAAATGCATATGAAAGTATTTACGGTACTTTTAACAAAAAAAAAAAACAATTTTAAAAATGTTTGTGTGTTTGTTCCGGCTCCGAAACGGCAGGACCGATTTTGACGGAGTTTTCACTGGCAGATAGCTAATGTTATACTAAGGCTATTTTTGTTTTAGTAAAAGAATTAGGGTTCAGCGCAAAACAATTAAAACCCGTGAAATCCAATGGTAACAAATTACACGCGGGTGAAGTCGCTGGGAACAGCTAGTTAGACATATAAAAATTATATCAATACATTTAGTCCAAACTAGGTAAAATTATTTACGCGCTAATCACTTTGTTAAGGGTGTATAAAAAGCACTCTTTGGACTGTGGCAACTGGTAGTCTAAACTTAGGTCTAATTATAACATGGGTTGAACCTAAGTTTTAATGGGGTATGCCATTTAGGTACTTTATGTTTGCTTTCGGAGTTATAATTTTGCGAGTGTCAAGTAATAAGAAATTATTCTTCATAATATTTGTTTAAAAAACTTCTTCACAATATACTAATGTCATACATTGCGAAGTTTTTAGGCGATTTTTTTATAGAATATGGGTGACAAACGAGCACACAGTCCACCTGATGGTAAATGGTTGCTACGGCTCTTAATACATACATCTACAGTTATCCTCGATTACGGATCAAAATGCAGATGCGTTGTCACCCGTGAGGACTAAAATGGAACGGCCCGTTTCCAGTAAAAAGGTTCTCCGGTTCTCTACACTCACCATACGAAACACAGCAGCGTTAAGCTGAATTTTTATGCTGGTATTCTGTGAGAGCGTGGTCCTTCCCCGGTCGAGCCGACCCATTCGTACAACAACAGCTATACCAGTAATATAGCTGAAGCATGGCTCTACCACGTTCATACGTGGTAGTTTTCATAAACTATGAAAACTTTGACGACAGCTTACAGAAGCATACAGCCGATGACGACAATTTCTCAAATTGAAAGCGGCGAAAACGTCTAGCGGTATACCAACATGGAGCACTTCTTTCGCTTCCACTAATAGCTCACGTGCGTTGACAATTAATTCACAAAACCATATCATTTTTACGTATCCAAATCCACTTCAAGCCGTTATTTAAACTAGAAATCTGCAGGCGGACAAGTATTCGTCTAAATACCAAGACCCAGGTAGGTAGTTATAGGTACCTACCTATTTCGGTTCTGAAAACTATCGTGTTTCATAGAAAACGGGGCAACGAGCATGATCCAGCTCACCTGGTTGTAAGTGGCCATGAACATCTGCAACACTAGAGGAGTTGTATTTAAGTGGTAGGTGGCGGTAATTTTCTATCTAGTAATGAGTTCTTACCTGTTTGTACCTGAGCCTCTTACTTGTTTCTGCCACCGAATATCAGTACTTGTACTGCTGTGTTTTAACCTGAAGCTAGCCTAAATCCTAAATAAATAAATAAAGTGTATTTAGAGCCGGTATAATTACAGGCTATGAGGCATTTCATCTCAGCCCTGCGGTGACAATGCACATGTAACCTTCTTTGTTTGAAGTTAGCTGCAGATGTTCATGGACTGCAGTAGCGACTTACAATCAGGTGGACTTATGTTTGTTTGTCACTTCAGTTTTATTTAAAACAAAACTGTTGTTGGTCATTTTAAAAGAAGTAGTCTCTTCGTAATAGTCCTTAGGCCTGGAAAATTCTTTGGTGGATGTTTTTGGTGTCTTTGTGGAATCAGCTACGATCCCACAAGGAAGACGTGCGAAAAAGGAAACTTCTGCAAGCCATTCAGATGGTCTGAACAGAATCGGGCATTTTGTCAAGACGGGAAGTTGCAATTCGATGACTGGAATTAGTCCGAACAATTCCTCTGAGCATTTAGCTTTTTAGACACCATTTTGGCCTTCCTGCCACTGTGACCTGTGACCGCGGAATTGAACGTCACTTGATATGTCGATTCGATTTTCCGATGCTGGCTGAATCAGCAAGTGGGATTGCCCTAGGAAGTGCCATGACAATACAATAAAGGGTTTCTTTAAAAAAAAACATGCAATTACGTGTCTCCTGAGGGTTCTACAACAGGTCTACATTTAGACGCACCAAGCTTGTGACTTTGTTTAGCAGACTCGACTACTTTTGTGCTTTGGATGACGTAAAATGTAAACTGATGACGTTTATTATGGATTGCATTCGCATTTTGGAGCCTTTTCCATCAATTCAAATGAAATAATACACAATAATAAATTGTATATGTGTTCTATTGCTAGTAGTGTTGTGAACTGTACCTAGGGTTTTCATTACTTTATGATCAAAAGACTATACACCTATTTATAAAAGTATTAAAATTTCCACCACAAAAGATACAAGTATGAAAGTACAACAATATTTTTAACTTTTATCGGTCTGGTCAGCTGTGCCTTATAAGGGCAGCCATTGTCCCAGAGCGAGCTATGGAAAAAGGTGTGCTCAGAGTTTCGAAATATATCATAGCCGTTGGGCCTAGTCAGTTACTCATCAGTCAGTTAAATTAATTTCAAATTATGTTGCGTTAAATAAAGAACAAAATGCACATTTCGGGCGCGATTTTTTATAGTATACGAGAAAAACTACAACGTGGAAAAATATGTTTAATATACATAAGTCGGTACGGATGTAGTATTAGCTCAATACAAAATTTTAGCACATAAATTATTACATTAAGTCAGATATAAAACTTATAACCATTACGAACATAAAATATATTCCATTCATTTTAAAAGAATTCCACTCATTTTTCGGTCAATAATTTTATTGACAACTATTATTAAATAAGGATACCGGGCCTAGTCTAGTAGTTATATCTAGTCAGAAAGACTCAATGGACTCAATGCAAAATTAATAACTAAAAAATATGTAGAAATTTGATCAAATTAATAACAATCACAACACAAATGGTTACAGATAATATAAAATTAGTTACAGTTAATAAATACAGGTTTATCACGGACAAAAGAGAATATATTTATATAAAAACACGCTTACACAATTAATACATAAAGTGTTGGCTACATTACTAAATAATAATAATCAATATTGAGGTATCAACCATGAATAAAGGATATAATACTGTTAAATTTGATCAATATTAAATGACTGCGAATGTTTCATCAACAAAATATAATCGCATACGCATCGTAATAATAACAACGCAATACAATTAAAATGTCTTTTGAATTTAAAGAAACAAAATCAACAAACTTTATAGTAGTTTTGGTATAGTTGTGACATAGCAACTGTTTGTATTTTATTTGTAACATAAGTCATTTTCCAAAAATATACTAATTTGAGCATTAAAATCAAACAAATACATAGTTGACATAAATATATCCTATTTTCATTGACAAGATTGACTTAACAACTACATTATTTATTCTAGACTATACTTCTTGATCGTACTTGCATATTTTTTAGAGAAAGCTTTTTTCAATTCATGTAGAATATATTCAAAACTTATAACTAAGCTGGAAAATTGTTTTTACGTGAATAAATGTAATATTATAAAACTATGTTAAGATTTCATTGTAAGTTAAGTGTAACATTTTCTTGAACATACAGCTTATATAATGAGGTCAATATTCGATCGTTTCTATAAATATATACGCTCCTAAAATAATATATCTACGTTGTAAGACACTATTGCTTTTCATCAAATTTTAGTTAACTTCAAGTCATATCACAATATAAAGATACTCACTCCTATGAAATCTTATTTATTTCTATTTTTTATTGGTTTAATTTAGCTTAAGTTTACTAAGGTGTAAATAACTGACAGAAATTTTTAACAATCCTTAAAAAAGCACTTAAATTATGTTTCGTATAAAATATATTAGAGGTCGTCTAATTTAAAACTGTATGCGCCTCCTTCGTATTTTTGGTAGATTTTGTAATGTTTACCGTATTTAGTATCATAAATCTAAAATAAAAAGTGACAAAATCTACCAAAAATACAAGGAAGCACTTGTTGTTTAAAAGTATACGATCTCTGCTAATAAAATGTAGCTTGTGACATTTAGCACTTAAAGAAGAATCTGACGACACCTACTGACTGGACACAGCAATTGTCCATCTTGGGACTAAGTGGAAGAGTGTGTAAAGGAGTTTCCTCCTTTACACACTCTGAGGGCG